AGCTCCAGATCCATCTGCTAATCTCTCAGGAATGCTGAAGGGATTTTACTGTCACGCTTACAGAGTGCTTTGAAGCCTCTCGGTGAAAGGGAGAAGAAACGTAAAGCTTTAATTTAAAGTACTCCATTTCCCATTAGTATTTTGTGAGAGTGAGTGCCACACAGGGTGCTGTTGACTACAGATGGGGCAGAGTTTGATTCGGATGATAAATCATCTAAGCTTCAAAAGGCATTTCACAACCAATTGGAAATCTTTTGTAGTTCCTTCACTAGCATTTTGGTTTGGTTTTGTGGTTGGGGTCTTTTTGATTGAGGACACTGGCACAGGGTGCCCAGAGAAGCTGTGGCTGCCCCATCCCTGGCAGTGTTCAAGGCCAGGTGGGACAGGGCTTGGAGCAACCTGCTCTAGTGGAAGGTGTCTCTGCCTGTGGCTTGGAACTGGATGAGCTTTCAGGTCCCTTCAACCCAAACCATTCTACAGTTCTATGACCAAATATAACACCGTATTGTTTGCCCTCTGTTCTGACTACTTGGTGCTATCTCAGAGAGCACACTGAAGAGCAGGACAGATGATCTTAGCTCCTCATACAAGCCTGTTTTACAAGTCTGTCACTTCAGCATCAGACCCAATTTCATTTTGTTAGTTCATTTCTAAAACCACTTGTATTGAAACGCCTGTTTTCAGAGCTTTGATACGTGTTTTCTGCTTGGCTTGAGCAGTCTGCACTTCGTAAGTATTTTCTTATGGCATCAATTTTACGGCTTAATCCTTTGTGAGATTAAAGTTCCTGCTTTAAGAAACTCTGAATTTGTTACCCTAAAATACATCCTTGGAGTAAAAGGAACTGAAGTTCTCAATGATCCCTATTGTTTTTTTTATGTTTCACCAAAACAATGAAATATTTACTTCATTTTATACACTAGCAAAACCAGCCCTTAGTCTGCCTGTGTGTTTGGAGGCCAAGCTAAATCCAGGATGCTCCACAAGCATCTTACTTGACAAGCTGATTTTGGGAATAACTACAGAAAACTGCCTTGTCTCCTGACAGCCTCTCTCCCGTAGCAAACGTGAGACTGTTCCTTTCTTCTTGTGCCAGCTTTGCTATTCCGTGCTACAGACACGCGAGCTGGCGCCAGCGGAGCAGGTTTCTCCACAGAGTGCAGCGTAGTCTCTTGGAGAGATCCCAGCTGGAATGCTGAAATAAGACATCTCCGGTAGCGCTGTGCCTGACTGAAGCATGGCCAAAGCACAGTGCTGCAGCCTGCTCTGCCTCTGTTCAGAGAGCCACCAGGCAGCGCAGAGCTCTCTGCCTGCCTTCCCACAGCACAGCGGTCTGGTGAGCATGGAATGATGGGTTACATCGACTTCCCTGTTTCATGGCGCTTCCAAGTTGGATTTATCAATACAGAAACTTGCTGTGACGCAGCAGTGTCAGTGAATGCTGTGATGTGCAACTGGTGGGCAAGCTGTGTGCATGAATAGGTTGCCCAGGGAGGTTGTGAATGCTCCATCCCTGGCAGTGTTCAAGGCCAGGTTGGACAAGGCCTTGGGTAATATGGTTTAGAGCGAGGTGTCCCTGCCCATGGCAGGGGGTTGGAACTAGATGATCTTAAGGTCCTTTGCAACCCTAACTATTCTATGATTCTATGATCAGGTATAGGAAGGGGAACAGCTGTGAGATGATACATTAGGAAAAAAGGGAAGTTCAAATTTGGAGAGGAGTCAGGAAGTCCTGGCCTGGGATAATAACAAAGTATTTCCCAAATGATGGTGACAGAGAGTTTCCAGTAGCTTGAGAACACCCTTAGCTCAATTCACATGCTGAGTTCAGCCAGTAAATTGTTCATTTATATCTTGTAACAGCTGGTTCTGCACGTGAAAAGAAACACAGAAGAAATACAAGTCCCAGAGAGGCAGTCTAGGCCAGCAACAGTGCCCTCCACTAACAAATGTAGACCTAGAAACTTTACATAGAATAAAGCAAGTCTTTAATTGGAGCTGCTGAATGTTTAACAGTTAAATACACCAACCTACTCACTGCAGTTATGCAGTGAACTGTGAAAACGTTCATAGAGAACTCGTCTCAAACAACTCTTCTGCTCTCCATGGTGTTTGCAGGTACCAGGCTGTCAGCCCTGCCTCTTAGGGTGATTCCTGGGTGCTCCCTGCGTTGGCAGCTGGCCTTTGGAGGAGTTCCACTGGTGTGCTGCTGGCTAACAGAGGAAGGAGCCCTACTTTGTAAGAAGTGGCCTAATGCCGTGTTTGCTTGAGCAATGGCTGCTAAATACTTGGTTATCTCAGGTGAACACCGCCGAGCAGCTGGGCTGGCACTGTGCTACAGCACAGAAATGCAAATCATTCACTATGAAAATACTGCTATCAGCTTCTCAGGCATGGCTATGTTAAATAAACCAGGTGTGAAGATCACTCCCAGCCTTAGTGCTACTGTACCAGCCCAGAGCTCCTGTAGCTGGGAGAGGGGAGAGTGGCCTGCCTGGGAGGAGAGGCTATGTGTATCTCTGGGAGGGGGACCAGCTTATTGGAACAATTACATACCCCAGGGTTTGGCAATTGAATTACATTTGTGAATAGTATCAGGACTTACCTTTTCCAGAATGTGACAGCTCTGTTCCTCTTTTTACAGTTTTTGTTTTGCATTCATCAGAGTTGGACTGGCTGAACAGACCAGGGCCAGAAGGAAGAAAGCGTTCAAGTTCTTTTACTTTACATTACGTCATCTTCATGTTGGGACCGGTCTTGTTCAATATCTTCGTCGCTGACATGGACAGTGGGATTGAGTGCGCCCTCAGCAAGTTTGCTGATGACACCAAGCTGTGTGGTTCGGCTGATACGCTGGAGGGAAGGAATGCCATCCAGAGGGACCTTGACACGCTTGTGAGGTGGGCTGATGCCAAGCTCATGAAGTTTAACCATGCCAAGTGCAAGGTCCTACACCTGGGTCAGAGCAATCCCAGGCACAGCTACAGGCTGGGCAGAGAAGAGATTCAGAGCAGCCCTGCAGAGAAAGACTTGGGGGTTCTGGTTGATGAGAAAATGAACATGAGCCGGCTTCAGTGTGCGCTTGCAGCCCAGAAAGCAACCGTATCCTGGGCTGCATCAAAAGGAGTGTGACCAGCAAGTCGAAGGAGGTGATCCTGCCCCTTTACTCTGCTCTTATGAGACCTCACATGGAGTATTGTGTGCAGTTCTGGTGTCCTCAACATAAAAAGGACATGGAACTGTTGGAACAAGTCCAGAGAAGGGCCATGAGGATGATCAGGGGACTGGAGCACCTCCCATATGAAGATAGGCTGAGGAAGTTGGGGCTGTTCAGCCTGGAGAAGAGAAGGCTGCGTGGAGACCTCATAGCAGCCTTCCAGTATCTGAAGGGGGCCTATAGGGATACTGGGGAGGGATTCTTCATTAGGGATTGTAGTGATAGGACAAGAGGTAATGGGTTAAAACTTAAACAGGGGAAGTTTAGATTGGATATAAGGAGGAAATTCTTTCCTGTTAGGGTGGTGAGGCACTGGAATGGGTTGCCCAGGGAGGTTGTGAATGCTCCATCCCTGGCAGTGTTGAAGGCCAGGTTGGACAGAGCCTTGGGTGACATGGTTTAGTGTGAGGTGTCCCTGCCCATGGCAGGGGGATTGGAATTTGATGACCTTAAGGTCCTTTCCTACCCTAACTATTCTATGATTCTATGATCATATGATTCTATGGATACAAGCTGTTTGGCAAGGAGCTGTGCTTACACAATAAAACCACCCATGGACACACTGGTGCAGCATAGCAAACTCCCAACTACTAGCAACATGAAGGAAAACAAATTTCATTTGTGCTTACTTCTGTACATTGCTCTGGCTGATATAATCTAGACTAAAGAGCATATTTTTTCCCTTTATAGTACTTTTGATCACAGTAATTTTATAGAAATTGATATTTTGGGTGGGTTTTTTTGGAAGCCCTTTGGAAAATAATCTTTGTCCTAGGGCTGACAGCAAACCTGCCAGTGTTGCCCATTTTGGTCACTCCTCAACCTCACCTACTGCAAAGGCCAGGGTGACCCTACTGTATGTGAGACAGACAGCAGATCTTCACATGTTCAGGACATATTAAACTCAAGGATGACAATACAACCATGTGCAGTAAATTGGGTTTGGACCCATTGAGACTGGCAGATCTGGACAACAAAGGGTATAATAGCACCACAGAATTCACTGAGAGAAAATCCTCTGAAGGCATTTAAATCTCTCCTTTTTCATTACTACTTGTTTATTCAAGTGTTGTATGTCTGTGGAGAAAAATAAGCCAACTCAAGGCTTTACGTTTCTACTTCCCACTTAAGCAAGAGAGCACTTGGAATCCACTTGTGCAAGACCTCCACCATCCTCTCTGGATCCTCCACCATCTTCCTCTGGATGGAGTTGTGTCAGTTTTACTAAGAACTAATGAAAGCTCCAAAACTAGAGAGAGTTAAGAGAGAGAGGTGGTTTCCCAAGTAGAAACCTTGATGATAACCACAGCTCCATGCTCCTTCTCCATTAAAGCATGGTCTAATCTTGCCTGGCACCCAAGAGCAAACAGCGCCGTGTGCTTCACGTCCTGTTGGACAACTCTGATTGACAATAGTACAGCTGCAGTTTTGCAGATGACATGAGGCTCCTTCTGGAACCTCCCTGCAGGAGGATGGGTAATAGTTGTCTGCTTTGGAGCTAACACCCTTCACTGTGCTGCTACCGTGCATTTATGGTGATGCTGACTTCATAAATGAGTCCATGAGGTGCAGAACAGCAGTTAATTGGGAGTAGGGTCTGGCAATATGTTTTTAGCCATGTCAGCAAACAAAATGGGGTTTATTGCTAGTGCAGCTCGTGAGGAAACATACACATGCTAAAGTCCAACTTCACTAAATATTCCCATTTTGACCAGCAGCAAACGTCCCATAGCACATTCACAGTTACACCAGCTACAGGTGATCATAAAAGAACAGCTCAGTCTGATAAAACAAATGGTATCAGTTTTAGTATCTTATGATGATACGACTGAATCTGCAGCAGCATAACTGTGCAAACAATCACGCCTTTTACAGGCACACAAGCTGAGAGCAGTAGTGCAGAACCGTTATCAAGGAGTCTTTGCTAAACAAGATAGGGCCAGGAATTGGAGCACTTCCTGAATTTAACCAACTCCTCTAATAAAGTGATTTTACACAAGAGAGAACAGGGAAATTGATGCAATTAGCAATAGCATTTCTGGCTATCTGCCCAGAAGGAACCTGTGAATCAACAGCCACCTGAATGATTTCCATCCGTGTCAATGCAGAGCACCCATGGCTGCTCTTCTAAAACACCTCCAGAAGGGAGTGGTGCCTCTGGGTCAGGGTCTGACCTCAACTCAGATGGGTCCCCAAAGGAGATGGCACAGCCTTGCCCTGAGCTCTGGTGTTCCAGACACATCCTCCTCTGTGGTGTCCTACTTACCAGCTTCTTCCCTCCTGTGTCCTTTCCTTTTGGCTTCATTTTCAAATGAACGGCATCTACCTTCTGGCCTCCAAGCTGCCCAGAGGCATGGGAAATGATGGGCAGAGAGGGGATTTCTTTGTGGAATTGCTGATCTTCCTGCCTGTCTCCTGGGAAGAGCAGGGCTATGTGTGCAGGACCTGGTGCTGTTCATGTCACTCCTTCCATTCAGCAAGCGGGATAATGTACCTTTCAAAAGCATGTGTTAAACCTGTCCCTCTTCATCTGATGCACTCTTTAATGGAGAGCATGCAGCTGGTTCCCATCTGTGGCTCACTCTTTTATGTTGTTGTTTGGGGTTTTTTGTCCCGCTTTGGGTTAAATTGAGAATGAGTTGTCATGCAATGGCTGCTGTCAGAAGGAGTGTGCTCCCAGTCACACACCACACACTCCCATCAGCATCCTTGTTGCCAGCTCTTTGGCTTGTTGGACCTCTTGGCAATCTCCTTCACCTTATCAAACAGGCAAACAACCAGTTGCTTCCTAGGTTGATTCTCTGCTGGAACAGAGAGCAAGCCTGGTTCACCGAGGGGTCAGGAGAGCACTGGCAGCAGCAGGAAGGCAGGATGGGAAACAGGATGGGAGCAGGTTTTCTTTTTGGGTAGCTTGCAGTTAAAGCCATGAGCTAATGCCAAATAGTGGTGGATGTTCTTCACTCCCAGCTGCGTTCTCCTGCCCTTTCCCTTGTGCTGAGCCTAGCAATGGGGTGGCTTCAGGGTGAGTTGATTCAGCTGGCTGATCTGGCTGGAAACTCCTCATGTTCATGGCACGGTTCACCGCTGTTACCGGCCAGAGGAACAGATTCGCCCTGTGGCCACACAGCCACTAGATGCAATACAAGGAAAGCAATGCAAACAGAAAACAGGCAGCAACTAGCTTGTAGATCAGCTCAGCTGTAATGCCCAACTGCAGCCTACAGAGAAGGCACACCAGCCCAGCCACCCTGCTGTTCCTGCAGTCGTCTGATCACTGGATAGCTTGCTTCCCTGCCTGTGCTCCTCCACTCTAATGAGCAACTTTCCAGTGCATGAAGTGTATTTTTAACTCCCCTATTCTGTGTGAGCAGAACTGCACTCCAGCAGGCAATTTCAACCTCTTCTGATTTGTGGACTGCTAGTGGAGAGGCAGATCCTGCACAGCGGGACTGAACCTATTGACTTCCATTCCTCTGTGGCTTTTGTGGACCTTGGAAGTTGCTCGCAGTGGCAACAACTGTAGACTGACATCTACTGCACAGAACAAGTGCTGAGAATCACACAGGTCCCCATCAGCCTGGCAATAGTGTTTTGACATCATTTTCTTCTCTCATTTTCTTTCTTTCTCATCAAGGATTATGAAATCAGAGCAGGTTATGGACAGCGAGGCTGGTGAGCAAACATGGAAGCTTTGAGCTAAAACAACCTCACTCCAGTTTCCTGATGGACAGTACAGGACAAATAGCTGAGACAGGACTTTCCATTCTCTCTGCTATGAGGAGGCTATCCTCACAGGAGATAAGAGTAACATCCTTTCTTACAAAAGTAATGCAAGATCCTTTGCTGGAAGTTTGTGCAGAGGCTGCACTAAGTGCCTCTTCTTGGCTTTCCTCTTGGAGAGACTGTGGCTCCTCTCCCAGTCACTGCAGAAGGCTGTGTTCTGATCCAACTGGGTTTCAGTGGCAATATGTCACTGAAATGCAGCCCTCACCCTCTCTCTCCCTCTCTTTAAACTGGCTTTATTCACAGATCTGATTCACAGCCCAGACCTATAAGCAATCACAGAATCATGTGATGGTTTGTGTTGGAAGGGACCTTAAAGCTCATCCAGTTCTGACCCCCTGTCACAGGCAGGGACACCTCCCACTAGACCAGGCTGCTCCAAGCCCCATCCAACCTGGCCTTGAACGCTGCCAGGGATGGAGCATTCACAACTTCCTTGTGCAGCCTGTTCCAGCGCCTCAATACTCTCACAGTGAACTGAGCCAGTAAAAGCATCAGGGTTGCGAGGAGAGCAGTGTGAGTGAGGGCGATGGCAAAGGGAGGGTTGGGCAGGTTCACCTTAAGCTGCCCAACCCTCATTTTTATCAAGCCAGAGTTCAAGAATGGCACATTCAGGACACCCATAACCTGACCCAGCCCTTTTGGCTTAAAACATGTACAGTTTATTTACACACCTTCTGGTTAGTATCTTGTTGATGCTTGACAGGAATTGCTGCTGAACAGGTCCTATGTTTAGGGAGACGGGAACCCTCTTCCTTTACAGGCTTTGCCGCAAGATAATGAAGTCTTTGAGTGAGGAGGTTAATGACATAATCATAGAATCACAGAATGGTTTGGGTTGGAAGGCACCTTAAATCTCATCCAGTTCCAACCCCCTGCTGTGGGCAAGAACACCTTCCACTAGAGCAGGTTCCTCAGAGCCCCATCCAATCTGGCCTATATATTAACATATAAATTACAGTAGCCATGGAGTCACCCACTGGGGACCTCATCAACGTATCTCATGCAAACCAGGGTCTGGGATGGCTGGCATGTGAGAGAATTTCATCAGGGAACACCACAGCAAGAATTCCCAAAGGAAAAGCTTAACCAAGGTGTTTACATCTTACCAGCCAGCTTGCTGAACTGTATTCTCAGGAGAGAGGTATCTGAACGCCTGATTCAGTGGTGATGTGCTCCTACACACCAGTCCTAAAATAGCAGAGGTTAACAACACTCAGAATGCCAGTGCGAGGCCCCCCAGATAAAACGCTATCATGATGAAAGGAGCAATTCCCTTGCTTCCTTCCGTCTGCAGGATCTGTGTACACTGGCCTCCACTTCAGGAGCCTTACCAGTGCAATTATGTGAGTTAAGAGCTGGCTCTTTTGCTGACACAGTCATGCTGATAAAAGCCCTCGATTAGCTACAGCTATACAGACACGGGCAGGAAGAGCGTGTCTTTAACCTCTCCGAGACACTCACAGCAAAAGGAACTATCTCCAGTATAGACAAACCCGTAGGCTCAAGAGTATGTGAATGTAGTATCTCCTTTTGTGTGTCGTTTCTATTAAAGGCCTCCATAGAGTGCCCATCATTGTAATCGTTGAGTAGCCTTTACATAACAGCAAAACTACACTGGCTAGAGAACAGGCTTTGATATTCCCAACAGCAACTGATATTTCTTTCCAGATTGAAACCCAGGGAAGGAAATTCTTTGTCAGATGGAGTCCCAGACATCCCTAGTAATGTGCCCAGTAGCCCGTTAGCCACAACAGACAGCAGGTTCTTGCTAATCCCCTCTATTCACAGAGAGGGCAGCAGCAATCTGTGCTGGTTGAACCTTATCGCTCTGCTGCAAGATGCCACATTCAGGTCAGTAGCTATTTGTCCTGACGCCCTCACTACACTTTGTGTGAGCAATGTCATTATCTCACTGTTGATCACTTCAACAGAATAACCCAGGCTTTAAAAGTCGTCTCAGGAAGGGGCTGGTCCTGATTCAGATGTCAGCTGTATCATCACATTCACTGCAAAAAGCATCCAAGTTTTCAATTCACTTTCTTTTATATTAACAGGAAAACATCTGTTTTGAAAGAAAAGTAAGTTTGATTTTTTCCCCCCAGTGACACATTGCAAGATCCTGCCTTCTAATGCCTCGTAGGAGTTAGTTTGTTGATTCCTTCTGATACTCTAAAGCTTCAAGACTGTACAAAGAGGCAGTGAAAGGATTAAATGAATTACTTGGTCACTGTGGAAAGTCATAGCCACCGAGTCAGAGCACCAGGAGTCTGAGGTTTCTATGGCTATTGTACAAGACAGACAGCTTCATCTTGTCACCCGTGTAGGACTGCAGCACTGTTTTCTTTTCTTCTTTGGACAAATGGGCTCATGGCCAATGATCTACCAGTCTTACTTCTAGAAGTGTGGAAGCCACTCAGTTGTTGCAAAGCCTCAGACGAATGTAGACAAAAGCTTTGCAAGAAGTCTCAGCTGTCCCTGTTTAGAATGGAGGCCGCTCAACATCTAAAGAACTGAGCTCTTGGTTATCAAGGGATATAGTAAAATCTTCAATAATCTGCAGACTTTTAGAGGACAAATAAAGGCTCTGGCTGGGAAGTTACTGAATGCCCAAGGATTTCCAGTACTCCGTTTCCTAGGTGCCATTAAAAATCCACAACCTTAAATCCCTCAGCAACTCAGCTTCCCCTGTGATACCATTATGTACACATGGCTGGACACAAAAAATGTGCCAGCTCGTACCTGTGAGCACAGTGCTGCACGCTGTAGCATGTTAAACTAATCTCTGTCTGTTGACACAAGTCACCCTTCTTCAGCATCACTTTATTTCTACAGCCATACAGTGTGTGCATGCTAGTACCCAGAGTCACGGCCGAGCCCATCCCATGCAGGATGTGTTTCCATCCCAGCGGCTTTGCCTGATGCCAAGATCATTCCTCACATTGCCCAACTGTCCCGTCACCTTTGGTAACAGCCATGCTGGCAGCCGACCATTTCCTCGCAGACTGGTGAGCTCACCGCTGCTTCAGATCCGTGTCAGGGGAGTTTAAACATCGCTTAGGAACAGGCTGTTCTTCACTCACACCACAAAACCAAACCCAACCTGCCTGCAGCACTGCAGCCACTTTGCACTGTGTAGTCTTGCCCAGGATGCAGGAGGGACCTGGTGCTCAGGCTCTGTGTTGTCTCTCAGCCTGGCTGGTCCCCACTATAGACCCCACCAAGTCAGGGCTCAGCCCAGTGGGACTTCAGGCAACCACTACAGCAAACTGGGCACTCGTGAGACTCACACTGCTACATGAAGTTCTACTGTCTAGAATCCCAGAATGGTCTGGGTTAGAAGCTCACCCAGTTCCAACCCCCTGCCATGGGCAGGGACATCTTCCACTAGAGCAGGTTGCTCCAAGTCCCATCCAACCCAGCCTTGAATACTGCCAGGGATGGGGCACCCACAGCTTCTCTGGTTCTGTTCCAGTGTCTCCTTCAACCTGTTCCTGTGTCTCACTATCCTCACAATGAAACCTCTCTCTGTTCATTCTAGATTCATAAATCATGTTCTTTTAAACAGTCTTGCTGTTAAGGGAAATTCTGGCCTGCTTAGTGTGTTTTCAAATATACGTGGCCACAATCAGTTAAGGACAAAACCAGGTTTCAAATGATGGATAATACTTTGCTGGACTTGCCCCATGCAAGAGCTTAGATTGTAACTGTAAGTGAATAACCACCAGTGGAAACGCCCAAAGGAGAGGTCTGCTGCCCTGTTGTCACTATGTAGGGATCGTTGATAGCACATAGACAAGTGCTAGGTGAAAGTCAGGCCACATTGCAAAGCCAGATAAAAATACCTTTCCAGTACCAAACTGTGTAAAATCACACAGTTTATTTCACCTTGAATTCCTCCTGGTCTCAGGGGACTTCATGTCCCAAATTCCTTGAACTATATAATAAGATGATTGCTATAATGTTTTATTTTGGTTGTGCGCACATGAAATGGGGCAGACTGGTAATACACCAGAGACTGTGCAGAGCAGCAGCTGTTACACTTCCAAAGAGCATTACTGAGCTTTTTATAGTTGGCTGCAGTTGACATCATGGCTAAATAGAGTCTCGCTCTAAAATATATTCCACCCAGCCTATGCAACCTTAAAGCCATGCATTGCTGGAAGGAGATGGGGTCACAGGAAGCAGTGCAATGCCAGCATGGAGGTAAAAGCCTGGGGATGTGTTTCCTTCTTTTTTGTAAGGTGTCCATTAGAAATGCTTTTGAAAGACTGATCTGAAAGAAAGAGAACACAGTATGACAGCGTGAAACCTCTCATCTCAGGACCCAGCATTCAGACTTGGCCCAGGTCAGTGGTGATGGTCCTAGCGAGTTTGTAGGGCTTAGTCTGTCACAGATGACTGTCCAGACCAAAAGAGATCAAGTGCTTCTACACTGCTACCACTAGTGCCACTGTGATGCTGCTGGAACCTGTGTAAAAGCAGCTGCATGGTAAAATCCATTGGTGAGGAGCATCACACACCCAAACCCCTTCCTAGAGCAGACCAAGCAGCTTGCAGAGCTTCCAGGAGAGTGCTTTGCACCATACTCACTGTTGAGAAAATGAGTTGGGGGGAACCTTATCCAGAACTCGAGGCTATTGAGGATAATGGTCCCGGAGGATGACACCTGCAGCACAGACCTCCCATTGCTTTAAATGCTCACAGCATGGCACACCACTGCCCTGAGGACCTTCTGCAGTAGCATGACGGAGAACAGTTTGGGAACAAGTCGCATAAACCTGAAGATGGGGACCCACCACACTGATTCTGAGCAACTCCTGCCTATATGCTGCAATCTCTGTAACTAACATGAGGGGATTAGGGACTAAGGAAGGAGTTTGGGCTAGCATGGCCCTCCACACTGCAATGATCCATGAACTCACCTGAGCCCCTATAGCATGTAAACAAACACTTCTCCTGCCTGCTAGAGAGATGCAGGATGAGAGATACAATGTGCTTCTTCCCTATACCTGCCTGGCATTTGTGTCCAGATATCAAAGATACCAGCCTGTGAAGTTGAAATCACACCTACTAATCCAGTATTTTCCCCCAGAGTATCCAAATTGTTGCCTGGGTTCCTTGCAGGCTCCCTTTTCTCTTTCCATCATCACATCCGTTGGCTGACAACAGATATGATGGTATAAGGACAGGAGCAGCCGCTGTGACTGCTGTATGTAACTGGTTCCCTTCCACATGGGATATTCAAAAGACACTTTTGGCTCAGTTTCTGTCAAGGGTGCTGCTCAGAGACTGCTCATGTGATAGAAGACATGCAAACTAAGGTACAATAAAATAAGGGAGACTGAAACATTGCTGAATGAAGGTTTAGTGCAGAGGTTTCACCAGTGCTGATTGTATGAGCTCTAGCCCCCAGAACTTCTAAATCCACCCTGTGCTTGCGTGTGTCTCAGTATCTATACTACTATGTTACTGGGCATACTCCATGGGAACGCCCTGGGCTTCCTGCAGTACCTTTCACATGCACTGCACCTCCCCTCTGAGTCTGGGATGGAACAGGGTTTTGGTTTTCAGCTATGGCTTCCCCTAAGACCCTAAAAGACCTCATGGGGAAATGTCCATGTGTTTCTCTTTTGCTGGTCTGCTCCGTTTCATCTTGCAAGGACACACCATCCTGGCAAGAAGTCCATTTAAAAGGCCAAGCTAGGGATATCCAGCCTACCTTCTGCAACATGGGAGGAGATGGAGCATCACTGCAGTCTGAGAGCCTTCTGCAGGCACTAGTTAGATGGCGTGCCGAAAACATCACGGGCAGGAGTTGCTGGCACAGCCCCTCTCACAACCTGTTTACTGGCTCAAGGGTGTGATGGCACAATCTGACCTTAAAACCACATGCACACAAGCCTCCTCTATGCTGGAGAATGCCCCATCCTCACAGCCAAGTGCATCAGCATGTACCCAAGTGCAGCAGCCAGGAATGATCAGCACTGCCTTCCCCCTTCCAAAATGTCACATGAACTTCTCCAACATGTGACAAGTCCTCCCCAGCCTCACCCCAAGGTTGTTGCTGCCCTCTTTATGCTGTGCTCCCAAGTGGCACTACACAAAGGGACCAGCAGACAATGTCATACCATCTCCTCATCAAGGCATATGTAGCCTATTTGATTCATGCAGGGCAAGTGAAAGTGGTGCCCTACAGCATCCTCACAGTGTTACCAGTGCTGCCCTCTGCCCTTCTGAGCTGTAATAAAACACAGTTCTAGCAGAAAAATCTCTATTTTAACAAGCACTGCTCGTTCCCTTCAGGAGGGAGGTGCAAAATAACACTTTGTTATATAGCAACAGCCACACTGTGAGTATTTTGTTAATGTAATCCATCAATAAATAGGTCTAATGGAGGCACATCCTCACTAAAGAAGTGCCAGCCAAAGCAGGTACATTTCTGCTGCGCCTATCTGAAGCACTGCTAGCTAAGGTACACTTAGCTTTCCCCTTCCTATTCATACCATGCTCAGTGGTCGACTCTTAAATGGTCCAAATGTCACCCAGAAAAACAATGGCAACTATCTGAACTATGGCTATTCTGCAAGTGCTCCAGAGAGCACTTTCTTTGATGATTCATGATTTCTCTGTGCTTACATGGAGACAAACAGCAACCCAGACCCACAGACATAGACAGGAGTGGCTCTCCTTTTGTTGTGAAGAAGTAGATCATTCCTACCATGTGATGTGGTTCATGGTGTCTGCACCTGCTGAAAACAGTGGCAGGATGTTGAGGAGTGAACCTGGGAAGTGTGGAAAGCGATCAGGCAGTCCTGCAGTGACCCGGTCTGCTGCAGCTCTTTGTGCACAGGCATTTTACATGGTCCTAAGTAAAACTCTCACCTGAAACCAGCCTTTCCACATTGGTTAGCCAAAGGAATCTGGTGAAGCTGCAGTGCTGTAAGGTTAGTTAATGGCCTGGAGAGCAGGAAGCTGGCACCGATTCTGCTCTGGAACAAGGAT